GGCATTATTTTAACTACTAAATCATGAAATTACAAAGTCAAGTTATTCCCAAGATGTATAAAAGCTAGCAGTATAATTAATAATATTTGTTCTTTAAATGGTTTCACTGGACTCATTTCAATCATTTCAGTTTTAATAGCTTCCACTAAAAAGCATCCGTTAGTATCATGTTGCCGTGCTGTAAATTACATCTTCACTACCAACTGTTACCAACAGAGGACGCTATAAACAAAATGTATTCTAAAAGAAAAAGGCTTTCTAAACCTATTTTAACTTACAACGTGCACCCAATCCAAATGTTTCCAAATGTTATAAAAACCACAGCAAAATGTATGAACCACAACATATAATAATTGCTCAATAAAAGTTTTTACACTTATTTAGTCAAAGCTATTCGACACTTTCACTGACATTTTCACATTCAAAACCCCGACAACACACAGAGATGGATTAGCTGAGCAATTTCAAGTGATGAGTAGACATGTTGAGATACAGGTCCCCAGGCGTGTATTTATAGATATGAAACGAGAAGACGGGGTCACATGTGTCTGTGTCTGAAGCGGCGATGGGGGGCTATTAGGAGACCTCTACCCAAGCCAAAGAGACACACTTAACTGTCTGTCAAACTGAAGACAAACAACTCCCCGGGTTACCTCCAGTCACCGCAGGCAACTTTCACAAGAGGAGTCAGTCGTTTACTTTAGCAGAGGTCAACCTAACAACACAGCTATGGGACTATAAAGATTAAGACCAACAAAAGCGGTCTTCTTTACAAATCGACTCACGTTCCAGTAAAAGTTAACACGTTTGTGAAAAGCTGTTACGTTGCTGTAAAGTTGATTTCGCTGATCTCAGTGTGAAATCAATTCTACCCTATTTTGCTGAATATCTCCCACTTTTCACCCCCAATCTACCCTCCAATTATTCCTGTCTAATGAATGAATAGTATGAACAAAGTTAAAAGAAACCGTATGTAAGATTTTGATTTTAAATTCCAAAAGCATGATCTAACTGTGTCCCCAGTTAAACCCGGAAGACTTTTTGAAACATGCAGATGAAGACTTCCTTTGGGCTCTGTTGGTGATGGAGGGGCCGGTTTTCTTCATCTAGGAATTATAAATTGCCTATTAATTTGTGTATTATAATTTGTCTAACTTCATAAAAAAGATGTCACTGTAGCGTTCAATTACGTTCGGCAGATCAACAGTTACAAACAGCTGCCTGTAAGTAACACTGAAGATGTGATTAGAGTCACATCCTTCATGGAAAGCTCTGGCATTCTGTGAATCCATGGTTTTATCACATTCCCAGTATCTGTAACTACACCGGAAGTCGTCGTCCGCACGTCTTCTGGTAAGTGTGACTAGAGCCTACTGCTAGCTTTTTTGCTTCTAATTTTGAATTTATTATCACCATTTATATTTTTTCCAAATAATTTCCATAGCGGAGTTTGTCTAAGTCTAAGTCTAAATACTGAGAATGAGGAAAACTGTCCTGTATATGAAAGACACTAGAAATCAAGGTTCAGTTGTGTAGAGCCTTTTTTTAAAGAATGGTCTCTAAGAAAATCCAGTGAAATACCATTTTAAAAAGTGAACTAAATGTGTGTAATACTGTAATGTGTTTGCAGCTTTTAGCATCTACAAAGGCCTTAAGTCCAGACAGTCCAGACAGTAACTGGGGTAAGACCAGGTCACTCACATTCCCACTGTGACCTCACCAGTTTGTCCAGGATTTACCAGAGATTGGGAGAGACTGGGGAATTTCACTGGGATGAGCCATGAATACAACTCTCTTATTTCACTTAGGAATAAAGGGAACATAAAGCCTTCAATATTTGGTCATTTAGAGTAGAACCCTAAAACTTTTCTATACACCCCATTCTTTTCACATTAGTGTTGGTTTATAGGTGCGGGTGAGACAGTGCATGAGTCAGGGTCGTGCTGAGCTGTGTCCCAGTGGCTTTAAGACGATTACAGTCTAATCCATAATCCACGCTCACTCACACATGTTCAAGTGGGTTAGCAGCGCCACACAGTTTAGGAAGGCTGGAAGGCAAACTCTAGGAAACGTGCTGAACTTTTACACTTTATTTTTGACATAATATGAATTAAAAGATGCAGTACCTGATTTTTACTGTCTTAAAAAACAAAAACAACTTAATAACTAGTTCATTTTAGACTATTTGCTGAGATCCAAAATTGCTCCTCATTTACCTTATCAGGGTACCCCAAATTTAAGACTTTTTAAGAGCACTTAAATGAAAATTAAGACCAACATCACACCCATTATGCAGCCGAAAAATACCAGATCAAATTCTACTATTGACCAACCAACTACGGTACTAAATCCAGAATCTAAGAGCCACTGTGGATTAAATCTACACTTCCACATGATCCATCCAACGTCTTCCTCCACTCTACTGATTGTTTACTCATTGCCGCCGCTGCCAAAAAAACAAAGTATTGTTTGCACATACTTCAAATTAGATGTTCATTCATGTTTTTTTCCTTCCTCCATTTAACATCGCACTGCAGCCAGGTTGAGTATATATATATTTAAAAAAATTTAAATTTAAGACCTTTGTGAAAAAAATAAGACTTGGACAACATAATTTAAGACTTTTTAAGGCCTTAATTTACAAACATGAAATTTAAGACATTTTTAAGACTTTTAAGACCCTGCGGCTACCCTGCTTATGCATTCTTAGCATCCTAATAATTAACCCAATGAGTTTACGAACACCAGAGCGGCGTTTTGCTGTTATGGTGAAGGTACCAACAAATAGCATGCTATCACTCACTTCCTGATTATGGAGACAATAAAATGCTTTATAATAACATGCAGTTAACATTTATTTGGACCTCAAAAGCTGCTTATACAATATATCTGTACAGGGGCCAGACATTTTTTGCTCAAATAAATGAGAAGACATGGGAGATTTATGTTTATGTTATGTTATGTTGCATCCCTTTGTCAAATTATTTTAGCAAATTTTGAACATCATCAGGAATTAATATTATGACTACAGTAACATGAATGTAAACATTTTTTTATTTTCTTAATTTCACCAAACTACTTGTCACAAAGACATCACATCTCTGCACAAAATCTTGTGGTATGAGTAGGGGTGTGCAAAAATATTTAAATATTGATATAATATTGTATTGTTTAAAGCAATGATACAGCATCGATATCATGGGCTGCTGTATCGATATATTGTCAAGAGTATTTTTAGGTATATTTTACTTTATTTTGTGTAAGAGCTATAATTGTGTTGACATTTTCACTGTTTTGAGTAAAATGGGTGTTTTTCATATTAACTTAGTGGGTTGTATCGAATAGGCTTGAAATATATTGTATCGAATCGTATTGAAATTAAAGTGCACTGTATCGAAAAGCATATCGTATTGTGGCCCATGTATCGAGATATGTACCGTATCATGACCTATGTATCGAGGTATGTATCAAATTGGCAACTTCTGAAAGACACCCAGGCCTAGGTATGATTTTGTCCAGTCTGTTAAAACGTGGTCTTTATGCGTCGTATTACACAAGTGTCCATATCAACATGAGCTTAACGATTACCAAGGTTATTACAGACATTATTATCAATTAAATGCCGCCTAAATCAGTTAGTTTTCCTTAATCTCTCTTGGGTATATACAGCAGGCCAGACCATGCTCGGTAATGAACTTAGAGGAGATGAGGAGATCTCAGTGTTCCTACTGAGGATTGAACGCCTGATAATTTCTTTTCCTGTGTACGTGAGGCGCAGCAGGCCTCGGGCGCTAACCTCCACCAGGAAGAGCTTGCCCAAATTTGTAGAAAAATGTTTGATAACTGATTGTTGATTATAATAACAATATTTTCTGATAAATTAAAAAATATGAAACAGAAAAACAAAATTTAAGGACAAAATCTGTAACAGGAGAAGCTTAAGCACATGTGGTATAAATTAAGAACATTATCATATAACGTTTAGATATTTTTTTAAGCTTATCAAGGGGAAAAAGTTAAGATGTAATATCTCAGCTTACTTGCCCTACCAGTTTCCACTGATACGAACATTGTATCAGCTGATATTCCGGGAACAATGATTTGGCATACAGTATATTGTTCTGCCCTTGATAACTGTGTGCATAACAGTTTGAGGTTATTATTTCTAGATTGTCACGTAGACCTGTCACAATAACTATATCAATGTATCGTTCAAAATATGAAAGCTGGAATAATATATTTAGTGTATATTTTCTCTGCAATATTCAGAAAATTTGGGTTATTTTGTTTGTAATAATATAGGGAGTTGAGCTGTAGAGGGTCGAATAAGTCAGTTTATTCTATTTATTTGTAGTAGCTCATGACTTATATGGATTTTGTATATTTAAAGAGGGGATATTACACTTCTATGGTCTTAATTGCCAACACATTAAATATTTAGATCGCCACGTTCCCTTTATTGTTTTGAAAATGCTATATTGGCTGAACATGGTATTAAAAAAATAAAGTGAAACATTAAATAAGCCTGAGCCTCCCTCCCTTTGCTCCCTGTGTTAAGTCACTCCCCCTTCAGAGCGTTATCACAACACAATCAGCACTGCACATCGCATTAGATTTGTCAAGTTGTAGTGTATTGTTTTGTATAATACTTTTATACATTTATAAAAATATTGGGTGACAAATTGAGGATCTCACAGCTAACTGTAAGGAGGGTTTGAATACGCCACTGTGAGAGATTGCTAAATTACTCAAACATGCATGGATGACGTATAAAACCTCTTCAGACATGCTTTTCACATCATAACATGGTAGAAAGCTCCAAATAGTCGATTTTGATCAATACCCCACATTTTAAAAAATCCCAGCAAACCATTTTCATGTCAGTTCTGTCAATGGTGTAAAGTAATTTGAATAATATTTTTTTCTGTAGCAATTTTACATGTTTGAAAATGTGTTATGGTGACAGGCCTACTCTCCCCGGGAAGCTTTTGCATGAGTACCTGGAGGCGGGGCCAGCTTTGGGGTTGGGGGGCTGCGGTGAGTCGGAGGAGCCCTCGTCTCCGTCCTGAGGCAGCTCTTCACACTCGGCTTCACACTTGTCGTCGTCCAACAGTTCTGTGATCTGAATAGACAAAAACACAAGCATAAGAAAAAAACACGTTCCCAGTACATTTCCTAAATCAGCACAGGTGGTCTTGGTATTTCACAGAAACACTTCAACCATTTGTTCTCCAATGCTTTAGTGTTGACTTCATGGTATATTTTAATGTCCTGGGAGGGAAATTTTACTCTACTCCATTCACATTTGTCCTGATACTTAAAGGTGCATTGTGTAACTTTTCTGGTGGAGGGTCCGTCACCTTTACAGCTCAAAAATATCTAGAAAAACAGGCGTTCTGACTGTGAGCGGGCTCGCCTCTCCACAAATCTGAACTGTAACTCTGTCTGGTTTGGTCTCCATGAAGGTAGAAATGTTTAATGCCATACTGTGAAACATTCCAGACTAGGGTTGAATGATTTTAAGAAACACATTCTAATGCACATGAACATTGACAATTTGACGCTGGACTGTTTGCGCACATTTTTTTATGCTTTACAAAAACAAAACTTAAAACCGCTCGCTCCTTGTGTCGCTGATGCGGTCAGCTTCTGTCGGACTAAAGGACATGACTCAGTGGAATATGTGTGTTCTTTCTGTGACCAAGGATGTGTTGACGATGGTGTTCTGTGGTTCTACTGCACTGGAGATGGTTCATGTTAAACTTTACACGAACACCAGGTGTAAATCCTAGCCTCCTAGCATTGTGGTGGTGAATTACTTTGCGGCGCATAGACCTCAACGCAGATCCATAAATCCAAAACGACGGCGACAAGGCAACGGCAGCAGTGTGTGCTGAGTCAACGCAACACTAAACTTCACCCTTAAAATTGGGCTTTAGGAGCACTAGCAAAAAAACGTGGCATTGACTCTCTCAAAATCTGTGTTGTCTGAGATCGCGATTTTCGGTCCAAAATGATAGATCTTTCAGCCCTATTCCAGACGAAGCAATAATATCTCCATGAACAAAAGTATTTAACGACCATCCACCAGAAAAGTTACACAACGCACCTTTAAACCTCAACAATTACAGCGTACATATTAAAGACCCCATTTTAGGACATACCTGTTGCATTGCAAAAATAATGTCTTGATTATTGTTATTATTTTAATTTAGTTAGTTATCAGGGACCATATACATAAAAACATTGACACACAAAAAAATAGGAAACCTGTCTGTGCCAGGATGTTAACAAAGTTGCTCATTTCTACCTGTAGTCCATTCTTGTCAATCACCCACCACTCAAAGAATATTTGTGTTATTTTGGGAAAGACAAAACAACCACAACTGTAGTATTTCAAAAATCTGCCCACGTTGTCTCATTTACCCCTACAACATCTGAGGAAAAAAATAACTTCCCCTTATGAAAGCCATTTTAGCACAGCATGACCTAGTATTGGATTTCAATTTTCCAGCTTTAGTGATTCAAAAAACAGTCCAAAAATGCAACCGCAATGATTTCATGTCTAGTCTGAAAATCACTGTTCTGCTTATACAGTACAAGATAAACACGCAGCAATGCAGTTTGTTTTGTGATAAGGCTAAATATAGAAAAGACAAATGGGTAGCACAATGAAACAGAGATACAACAGATATATGCAGGGATAAGACTGAATAAACAGATTAGAGAGGGGCAGACAGAAGGGAAAATGGGGCAGGAGGGGGAGTGTACTAGTATATGATTACTGTGTTGACGTAGAAATGTTCCGCTCGGTGTGATAATCATATTACTAATTATGTAACGAAGCAATGTAGCACCGAAGAGATGTGACCTTTAAAAATGCCACAACTACTTTCAAGGAGCTCCAGTTCAGCTGATATGTGTACCAACAACACAAATAAATCTCAAGTGACTATACGTTAGTCAATTAAAATAGTTGTGTACCAATAAAAACATGAACGGCAACAACTCCAGGGGCTTCAAAATTGTCTAATATACAGTTATCTATGTCTATTTTTTTGACACTACCAGGTAAATGAGAAAAAATATGTGGTATAAAAATATCCATATTGTTAAACATTGTAAATGTATTCTCAGAAGAAAAAAAAATACATTCATAGCAACAAATTGGGTCTTTTTTTTTTTACCACGGCACAGAGTCCTGTTTATGGTAATAATTCATTCACACACACACTGCATTCATTTGTATATTTGTATTTATTTATTAAAGGGACAATGCACTATTGTTATTCATAATAGGTAATACTGGTGAAGTGTCTTGAACATTACTTGGTCGGAGAGGGAGTCGATCCTCCGACCTTCGAGTGGGGCATTGCTGGACCAATAATTATGACACGCACAAGTAAAAAAGTAAAATAAATAAATGAATAAATAAGTCCAATAAACTGAACATACCATATTTTCCACACTATAGGGCTCTTTGGATTATAAGGCGCACTGTCACTGAATGGTCTATTTTCAAATTTTTTTCACATATAAACCGCACCGGCCTCTAAGGCAAATTAAGCGAAACACAACAGTTAGATAAATCAGTCAAACTTTATTTAACGGGTTCACAATAACTCAACTTTGTTCAATTGTAACGCATAAAAAAAATACTATCTGAGACGCTAAATTGTTAGCGTATTTACAATAACTCATAATTGTTCAAACAGTTGGCCGATTACGGCGTCCAGCACGCCCATATCCCTCGCGTCATTATCCGAGTCAGTGTCATTACTTTTACCTGACAGTTCAGTGATGATTCCGGTTTTGGTAAAAGCTCGGACCACAGTTGATACTGATCCTTAGCCCAGGCATTCACGATCCATTGGCAGATCGTGGCGTAAGTCGCTCGGCACGGTCTACCTGTGTTGGTGAATGTGTGTTCGTCTTCTCTCATCCACAGTTCCCACGCAGCTCGCACTTTAACTTTATAATAGCCTTAAGTTTAAAGTCAACGTTGTGAGCGTGTCTCTTGACAGGTGCATTTTGATATTAAAAGGAATCACAGTACGTATTACTCCGCGATGCTCCTGACTATGGTAGCCGTAATGCTGCAAGTGGTGCGGCTTTGTAGTTTACTAAAGTCGTACAAAGGCACCCAAATAAATTCATATTTAAGGCGCTCTGGATTATAAGGCACGCAGTCATTTTTTGATGAAATTAAAGGCTTTTAAGCACACCCTATAGTGCAGAAAATACAGTACTTATGTAATACTTATAAAAATGAAATGATGATGCATGTATAGAGGGGCGGATGCAAGGAGCAAAGCAAGATAAAAGTGAAAAAATGCACACTCAGATGGCCGATGTACAAAAGCTTTTTTATTTTTAAATAATGTTTCGGCATTCTTTACCACATATTTACCCATTTCTTTAGCTCAATATTGGCAGTGTCTGGATATACAGAGTTAGAGTTATGCAACCACCTATAATTATTTATGTCCTCTTTTTCCAATTAGTCAGTTGTTTGGACTACACCACTGATAGTCTTGCACTTTTTGTCTGCCGCTCTCTACAGCTCAATCACCACACAGCCTGCTGTTACTGCTGTGGTGGCATCGCTATGGCAACAACTCAAAAGCGAGCGCTCTGATTGGCTGTTAAAGACTTCTACCAGCCTCACATGTGCAGATCAGAGAGGGATGAGTCACAAGATGCATCTGGGTTTGCAGGATGAACAAAGAAAATGCAGTTGCGTTGCTGTGTGTGCAGAGAAACAAAACATAGAGCAGACATTCCCACAGATTTGTTGCGTAATCAAGCAACAATGGCGCATTTTCAAAGTCAACTTGCCAGGTTAAATAACTCTTGAAAATCCATTACAATAACAACAGTTTTGAAATCCATTGAGAAGCACATTCCGTATAAATGGATGTAGTACACATTGGAAAGTATGTGAAAAATGCATTTAGCTGAATCACACATAGTGATTAGTCTTCTAGCGATCTGAAGGGTGTGGTATGGGCATGGTCACTGTCTGGGCTCCACCAGTATGAACAGTAGGGATGGGCATTCGATGAAATTTTCTTAATCGATCGTCGGAAGAATTAACTATCGATTATCGATTAATCATTAACGTTTTTATATTAAAATGATCATCATTATTATTACTATCTGCACTACTAATCTGCATAAATAAATTTAACTTTACGACATATAAACCGTAACGACTCTAGAGCCACATCAATCCGTTTGACATTATAACGTGTTTAATTCATTTTTGTGCAACTCTCACAGAAACGAAACTTAAAACCGCATCGCTAATTTGCATAAACTCAGCGAAGATAAAAATACAGCTCTTGTGTCGCTGATGCGGTCAATTTCTGTCGGATTAAAAGACACGACTCAGTGGAATACAGGTTAGTGTGACCATATTTGCGTTTGTCAAAACCAGGACACCGTACAGGGGTTGGGAGGTGGGGACTCGTCATCGACATTGCGCGACTCTCACCTGGTAAAGCTTTTTCCCACTGGACACCGAAACATATGTGCTGCTTTGTAACCTGTGCACATGGACTCACACTTGTCCCGAACGCAACAGAAAGCGTGGAATTTCTTGTACAAATCATCGTTAAATACACATTTGTGCTTCGGCACGCTGCAGGCTGACCCACTGTTTGTGTCTCGCTCCTTCTGAGTGCAGAGCTACATGTACGGACCCCTGTTTGGTCACGCTACGCACAGCAACCTACATTCGGTTTGTCGATTAAAATTAACGTAATCGATGAAATTCTTAATGATCAATTATCGATTATTCGATTAATCATGCCCATCCCTAATGAACAGTAACACATCTTTCCACAAAAAATGTTCAGCTAAAAAATAATTATGATGTGGGAGATATTTCGAAAGTTTTTATTTGTATTTAATCAGTTACCATTTGGAGCAATACTGTAGTGCATTTAATAGACATTTTATCTCTCCATCTGCGATGTTTTGGATAATAATGGTGATTTTTCTCAACTTGATAATGTTGCATCTGAACACCCGGCAGATAGCAGTTAGGTTTTCTCCTTTCACTTAAACTGAGGCCCAAAGAAGTCCACTGGAGCTGGTGACCTTGATCCCATTTAATCG